TTTAAATTTTGATTTATTAGACATTTGATGAGGATTCCTCCATTGTTGCCACTTTTTCGAAAGGAATCCCATCATTTTTGACACTTGACTATTTTATTTCGTTAATTGACTTTCTTTCTGAACGATGTATTTTAATTTTACTTTACTTTTTTTTTGGCAATTTACTTCTTTGTTTCGCACTATTATTTATGGAAGTAAAAGTAGGATGGTGTTGTATTACAGCTCTTAGCAAAAAAAATATTAACATAATTATTATTATTGTTTATAAGATCGGGCACCGCTCAATTGCAATATGGCTTCAGTTGCCTGGTCTCCATCGTCAGAAATGCCTATAAAATTGTTTATGATTAGTTTGAAAATGGCAAATGATTCGAAACAATAATACCTGGAACATAATAATTAACTGGTTGTGATCTTCTTGCTCTGACAGACTAGCTGCAATACTTTCATTGTTGATTTGAATAGATCAAATTTACCGTCATCCATCGCGAATTTTGAATCTAGGAAAAAATTCTCAAATGTCTATTTTTTCTCACACATTTATTTATTATCATAAAATATACCATTTCTATTTTATCTATTTTTTTTTATTCTTTGTTATTTAGCAATAATCGATTTGTAAAAATAATGGTGTCACTTTCCATTCATCTGTCAAATGTCATTGACTTTCCAGACGTATTTCTCTATGCAAATAAAATATAAAAAAAATATATGAAGACCGCTCAGTTCGACGATTATCTTCGAACTCAGATATTTGATTTGAATTTGTTCAACTTGTCAATTTAGAAGTATTCTAGAGAATTTTCAATTGTAACAAGTAATTGCTCGCATTGTAATAGAATTTCATTCGTAATGTCTTCAGACGAACAAAAGAGACAAATATTAGCGCAAAAACTATTTCGAAGTGCGAAAAGTAAGCATAAATCTGTGAATCATGATCAAAAAATGGTGACTTTGAAGAAGGCACACACTACGACAGCCAAAAGAGACCAAGAAATTGAAGTCAATCTAACAAAGTAAGTGTTTTGGATCAATGGAATGGATTTTTGTTACTATATCCATATACTGAAATCATTTTCCCAACATTTAGTCAAGCCATTAATGAGATTCAACGTGAAACTGAACGTGCGTCCAGGTTGGCCGAAGAAATTGGACCAAGCGGTTGGCGCATGAAATCACAACGAACTAACAAACGCTTTCTGGCTAATACAATGCGTTCTGTCTTGACTCACAATGAACGAACGAGTGGGAAACATGCAAGAGTCGAAGCGAAAATTTGAAGAGCTATCAAAACGGTCACCGAAATTTGGATCACGATTGCATTCGTTTCAGTCAGCAGGCGAAAGAATGACGAAAGAAAAGAAGTCTACAGATTCCACGAAAAAATGACAATCGTTTTTGTTAGCATTAGCTGTGATAGTGTAGCATTTTTCTATGAGCTGACTTTTCATTCGCTTTATTTTATTATTTTTAATATTCCCAATTTCATGCTCATTTTGCACAATGAGAAGACAATGCTATCGTAAACGCAGGAAATAAAAATAAAGAACATAACATAGAATCTCTTTGGAAGTGTTTTGTTTTCGTCATACTTATTGTTCATTCCAGAATATTGTTGCAATGGCAATACTATATGCGAGAGAGTAAGACAGCAAGTCGTGTTGTCATAGTTCATGTTTGTTTTTCTACTCTACTGGTTGTTGACATTTGTATACAGTAGGTATTCATTGTTTGTGTTGTGTGGTAGCAAAACAAGCGGTTTGTTACTTGTTGAATACACGATATTTTTGCTCGACAAATGTGTGAAAAATACACACGATTTTACTCAATGCTCAAAATTTGTTTAGTTAAATTCATTGTGGAAAACAAATGATGCTGTCCATTTGAATATTTTTTAGTTGTTAAGCATCACTCAAAATGGGGGTGAATACAGAAACAGACTCAACGCTTAAGGAGCGGGTCAATGATATTCTCGATAGTTTGAATGCATTGCCCATAGTCCGGTCTTCAGACGTACATTCTGATACGCCACGTACCTGCGTAGCGGCGGGTTTCGTAAGCTTTTGTTACTTGACATTGCTTCACGCACCAATATTCAAACGTTGCTGCACAGCGACTATAAAAACATGTTAAAAAATCACTCAATTAACAATTTTCGTTGCATTCAAAAAATGAAACCATGATAAATAAATATTGCACACACGACATCGATCACAAAATACGACACACATTGAATATTTTCATAAGCCGCTGTGCAGCACAACCATGCACACAAATCATCACAATTGATGTTTACCAACATCAAACACTTGAACACTGGTAAATATATGATTAAAATAGATAATCCGACAACTTTATCACAGTTTAGGCCAATAAGTAATGCAAATTATCTACTAAAAATCATCTCAACAATCAGCTGTAAACAATTCACTGAATACTTAGAATCAAATCAATTAATATCAGAATGTCTGTCTGGTTTCCGTAAAAAACATAGTTGCACAACAGCAATCTTAAAGTTAACCGAAAACTTTCATAAGTCAATAGTCAACGGGAAATGCGTGATTCTCGTACTACTAGATTTTTCTAATGCATTCGGTTCGGTCGATCATGATCGGCTTCTTCAAGTGTTAAAAAGCGTTGGCATAAGTAATCAATCCATGAAATGGTTTCGAAGTTTTTTAAGCGGTTGGAAACAAGTTGTCAAACATAACGGGAACACATCTAAAACTGAAACCATTCAGCGTGGTATTATTCAGGGGGAAAATAATTCCCAATTATTATTCTCTATTTTCATTAATAATATCATAAAATATATTACAAACTGTGACATAACTATGTTTGCTGATGACGTACAAATTTATACTGAATGTGAAATCAATAATATTGAAGGCGGTATAGAAAAAATCAATGAAGACTTGAAAAGCATTGAAGCATTCTGTCAGGATTACGGAATTGATATCAATCCGAACAAGTCGTATGCTTTGATCATTTCCTCAAAAAATAATCTTCATAAAATAAAATATGACCAAATACCAAGTATAATGATAAATGATCAAATAATTGAGTACGTTGATAATGTTCGTGATCTCGGTTACCAATTAAACCGTACATCAACTAGCGAAGATCACATCAAAGTTGTGCAGAAAAAAAGTATATGGGGCAATTAATACAATTAATCCTTTGAAATCAATAATTCCACAAAATATTAAATTGCAACTTTATAAATCTCTAATCTTGCCAATATTTGATTACATGGACATAGTATACCACAACTACGGAATACATGGGACAAATGGTGAGAGTGAAAAATTGGAATTGCTCCAAAACATTTGTATAAGATATATATATCAAATGTCTGCAGAAGAGATCACATTACCCCTCACAGAGAATCATTAAAACTTTTGAAACTATTTGATCGACGCACGCTTCACATCGCTTGTATGATACATAAAATAATAAACGGTGAAGCTCCTCGTTATCTTTGTGATTTAATTACAATTAACTCTAATAACACTAGATCTCAAAATAAGCTAATAGTACAAAAACCAAAGAATAATTTCCAGAAAACTTCTTTTTATATTAGTAGTCCTGGTTTGTGGAATGAAATTCCAGACGAAATCCGAAATATGAGTGATTATATAGATTTTAAAGAACTTTATAGTACAAATATATTTAATAAATAAAAATAAAGCAATAATTCACTGAAACACTAGAATTAAGAAAAATGTATAACCCAATTGGCCCTATGGGCAGCATGTGTAATGATTGTAAAATCTTATACCGAATCAAATAAACAATAATAATAATAATAATAATTAATAATAAAAAAAAAGATTTTACAAAGAAACAGAACACAAGATATTAAAATAATAAAATAGAAATATAAAAATAAAAATAAAAACAAAAAAAGAAAATGACTAAAAGACGAAAACAATGAACCAATAAATAAAAATAAATCTATGTAGATTGTGACGTTATACGGGGAACAATGAAAAAAAATTTTTTTTTTTACTTTCATTTTTCAATGATCGTTTGCCAAAAAAAAAATTGCAATTCAAAATTACCATCATAATTGTCAGTGTGATTGGATACCGCATAGAATTTTTGTTCAAGTTCAGATCTAGCGGCAGACAATGCAACCATTGAACTCTTTTCCATGCCATTGTAGCTGCTAAACTTGACGGGTGTAATGTCATCAATACTTTTACCAATCTCTTTTTCCAACACAATTTGTCGCTCAATGTCATCGGTTTTCAATTTACAAATGGCATTTTTCGCTGTAATATCGGCTATTTCCTCTTTCAATTGCATCTTTTTAATGTCTGTCATATCAAAGATTGATGATAAATTACGATTAAACCACTGATTCAATGTATCAAAGGGAATCATATGAATTACGTACTGTTTTCTTTGGATGAAATCGCCAATTTGTTGAACTGCTTTTTTTGATTCGCTACATTCAACTTCAATTTGCTCAAACGTTCTTCCAGCTTCTTCTTTGTTTGATACAAATACAATTGCTCTGATTGAGTCTGTCTACCCTATGTGAATTTAGAAGACAACAAAAAATGAAAACCTAACCTTAGATTGCCATTGGTTTTATTTATATACTCACAACAATCGTTTGTCCATTGAGACGTTCAATTTTACGCACTTTAATCTCATCACGAACCACTTTCACATTTTGTTGTGGTTGAACACGTTGCATTAAATCATTGAAAGCTGTGGTTTTGATCACGTCCGGATAAATTTTACGGAAAGTCAAATGTTTGCATGAAAAAAATTAGCTTCCATTGATGAGCATTTTATGGGCAATCGCGTTAAATTGCATTTTTTGCAAATTAAAAATTCACACGCGCGCTGTATGTTTATGTAGATCAAACGAGAGAGCTCAGC